GCTCAGTCGAGGAGGGTTCTGGGGTGCGGGGGTGAACTTTATAGCTTGAGTCTGGTCATTTTACCCAGGGGGGGAGCTACAGCCCTCCCCCTCCTCCCCACCCCCCACCCCCCCGGCCCGAGGATGGAATGAGACAGAGAAAATAGAAAAGAGATGTTTCCTTCCAGGGAAGTGAAGAAGCAGCTGCAGAGAAGGAAATGAAAGAAAGGAGACAGGAGAAAAGGCAAGGGGGAAAGAAAGGATCTTAGGATGGTGGTTCAGCTTATTAGAAGCTTCAGCGGCATTGAAGAGGACGTACACTTGGATGGGGCTGCCGCATGAAATCACACCATCAGTGTCCCGGAAGGCTGTGTTAATAAGACAGTGAGCTAGGAGGCTTTGGAAGACTAAGTAGAAAAGGCTTTTTCTTAAGAAAAAAAAAAGTTTGCGGCTGTTTAGCTTGCACATGTTTCTCTGCATCCCATGCATGTCTGTTGCCCATGGAAACCAGATACGGGCATCAGATGTCCTGGAACTGAAGTTACCGATGGTTGTAGCTGCCATGTGGGTGGTGGGAATTGAAGCCAGTTCCTCTGGAACTGGTACTCTGGTACTTAGGAGGACTTAAGAGCACAGTGGTACTCTTAAGGGTGGAACCATATCTCCAGTCCCTGACAGGGAAAAGTTATTGAGGACAGTTCGGTTACAAAGCAGTGTAATACCTGGAAAGGACAGGTGTTCAATAAAGGGCAGCCAGGCCACAGCAGGGCCTTGAAGACCTGGCAAAAGAGATGGGTCCAAAAATCTCAGTCTGAAGAGGAAAGACAGGTAGCCTACAAGTTAAAAAACAGAGCAGCTGACAAGAGGAGGGTGGGCTCACCTGAAGCTTAGCTTCAGAAAGCCCAGCGGCTCAGGGTCTCCCCATCGCTTCTCCCCATCAGTCAGGGATAGACGAGTTTGACCTCAGAGCTACCTGGCCTTGGGCTGCAGCCTGCCTAGGCCTGCCCTCTTCCCCTCGAGCCATTCTTAAACTACCCTGACTTCTAGGCTCTTCACCTGCCTAAACTAACCAGGTAGGCGAGGAGGCTGAATGTCCTCTGTGCCTGCCATAGACCCTCTCTCTTTCCACATGGTCTGTTTTTGAGGACTGGGAGGGTTTGGGGAAGTGAAGGCAGAGGGAATCAGAGAGAAGGAAAATCAGTTTCCAGGTTACTCACATTCTACAGCACCTCCACCAAACCAAAGCTCCCAAAGGGGGCAGAGACAATAGCCAAAAACTCTCATCAACTAGAAAATTCACAGCGCGATATAGAAAAACTTTGTTTAGTTTGGTCACCGTTTGAAGACATATTTTAAAAATTATGCAGCTCACAATCTTTTGCTGGGAAAACAAACCAACACATCCCTTCTTCCAGCCAGAGTCTTCTTTCTCTGAAGAGCTGAGGAAGTAGTGAAGAGCTGGGAGGCTTCCTAGAGCCTCTGAGCCCTGAAAGGGTACCCAGGGTAGAGCATCCCACCTCCTGTCTGCCTCCGCCTCTGCTAAGCCACCTCAGTGGTGAACTGAGGCCCCATCAAGAGCCTTTTCTTGCAGCATCCTCTCTGGGGCTCAGGCCCACCTTGTAGCCAGTCTGTCTGCTGTAGCTGCTTAGTGTCTTCTGAGAAGGGGGATTCGAATCTAATCTCCAGGAAAGGTCTTTTCCTTAATTCAGACACCGAAGGGGAATGTTAGTAGTTCCACCAGTGAGCAGAGATGGAAACACATAGCTTCCACTCTGAAAGGCACAGTCAGTTGGATAACTAAGAATCTTGGGGGCCTCTGGCTTTTTAGTAGGACAAGGAAAAACTTGAAGGAGGCCAGCATTGACCCCTCAATCCCTTTTCATCCCTTGGTTCCAAATAGCCTTTCCGTTTGGCTCCAGCAGCATGCTTGATCTCAGGGCTTTCCCCTTCCTTTCTTATATGTGTCCCTTCCCTTTACATTTTTATAGGCACAATGCAATATTTATGTGGCAGTGACCTTTCAAAGAAGTCTTAGAGATGATTGTTTACACTTAGGAATTTTCTTAAAGGGCTACAAAGCCCTTTGTGCTTCTTTCAGGAAAGGCACTCAGTAAGAACCAAAACAAACAACTGGGTAACCCAGAGCCAAATCTCTTAGGAGTAGAGGGGGCGGGTGGTGATGGTGGAGGGGCTAGAGTAGCATTTATTTTGTTGCTTCTTTCCCCTCCCCCAATGCAGTCAAATACTTGAGCCAGCCCTACTTCCTGGCTTGGTCCAGAAGAGCTTGTGAGCCATTTTGTGGCTAAATACCAAATCCTGTACTGGGGAACTCTCCACACCGGGGAAATTTCTCAAGGAACATGTCAAAAATCAGTCAGAGACAATGAAAACAATGTCTGCCCCATCAAATCTCGTGCCAGTATCTCTCGAGACCCATTTGTCTCTTTGATCATGGAGAGTAAAGAAAGGTTTTTACTCTGGCCAAATTTTACATATTCCCCCTGGCACTGGGCTACAGCACTCTTAATCCTTCAAGTTGCAAGCTTTCTGAGAAGCCAGGGTGCCTCTGGCTACCCAGCACAGCATGGCCAAGTGCTCAGCGCTCCCTCCTTCCCACTTTCCTTTGCAAAAACTTTACGAGCTGGCAAGACCAAGGGTTTCACTTAGAATTGGAAAATCTTCTATCCATGTGTGCCTGTGGATTATTGAGTCTGTGATACTGACTGCACTATTTCATGTTTTGGTTTAGGTTTTTTTTTTTTTTTTTTTGTAACTAGATTTCCATACTTATACCACAGCATAATAGTATCTACTTTATGTAATATCTACAAAGACCAAGTGTGATCATGGATATAAAAGCTCCCAGTATATATATCTTAGTAATTTGTATTAATCAGTATTTACTAACTGTTAGGATTTTGGAACAAAACCTGCTTCTGGGTTGCCTAGCAACTTATGATGTCATCATGTGTCACCAGCCAGGTGGCCACACCTAGAAGGCATGGTTACCTTGCCCCTTAAAGGGACAACCATACATCTCTCTCTCTCTCTCTTGCTCTCTTGGTCTTTTTCTCTCTTGGTCTCTCTTGACCTCTTGGCCTTCTTCCTTTCTCTATCGGGGCACCCCCTCTCTTTCTCTTTCTCTCTCTTTCTCCCCATCATGTCCTGCTCTCCCTTCTCTCCTTCTCTTCATATCCACCTAATAAACCTCTTTCATAGAAGATCTGCTGTGAGCCTCATCATTCATTAATTGGTCCCAATACTAACATTCTCTGTTGATACCACAGAGGACTCTGAACTTTTTCTTTAAAAAACTTGTAATTCAGAGATTCCTGCTGCTTAGAGACTGAGTATTACAAGCAAGGCTCCACCTAAGAATGGAATTATGGTAACGAGCAAAGCTAATCTATAAAATGGATTTTTTTTTTTTCCTGAATAGAAGTCACTTTTGCATGGATTCCAGCACAGTTTGTTGGGACTGTTTCCCCAAGACAGTGTCTACTGCATGCTGTGCCCATGGCAACCAACTAATAGAGTGCTACAGAAATCATAGGGAAATAAACTCTCAGAACCATGGCTGTTGCATGGGAATCTGGAAGGTATAGCATATGTAAAAGTACTGGCAAAGGCCACTACGCTTTCCTTCACCTTTATAGCAGGATAAAGTAAAAAATGAGTACAGCATAACATTAAATACTATACTGCATGCAAACCAGCTAGCTAGAAGCTGGGATTTCGAAAGCATTGAAGCTCTACTCTCACCAAACCCAGCCTAAAGAACATGAACTTACCTCTAGGGCATACATTATTACTATTTTTTAGTAAAATCTGTGTAGAAATTTACACTTAACTAGTGAGCAGTGGTTTGGCCTAAGAAACAGACAATATTTGAAAGTGAATTTTTGGCATGTAAAGAACCTGTAAACTTCAAAAAATGTGACTTTGTACCTGCAAATGTGTCTTGAAGACTTTTAAAAAAAAACATGTCTACGATATTAAGCAAAATAAAACAATATGAGATGTGATAGCCTCTATAATTCTATTCTACTTAATAAGCAAGATGATGAGATAATTTGAGTGTGAAGACACTGCTCTTCCTAAAAGTTTATTATCAAGGTCAAAAAGAATAATGCAGTCCCTAACAGAGAGGAGTCCAATATTTGTAGAATGTGCGCAGGGTCCTCTGGAGTTGGAACAAGATGAAAAGCTAAGCATTTGGAAGCTAGAACTCTGAACTGTTGAAATGAGTCCCTGCAGAAGGGCCTGGCTGGGGCTGAGGTGCCAGCTTTCCTGAGAGGCCGTGCTTGTTGGACTACAGAGCTGGCTCTTGAGTAGCAGCTGCCTTGAGAGCAAGGCCAGTGACCCTGGGATCCACACCGGGACCTCAAGCAACCCACATGTTGAAAGATGTGTAGGAATAGCAACAAGAAAAGGGGGGGGGGTCTAGCAGAGACGGGGGAAGGCCCAGGTGGACTATCATAGAACAGCTTCAAAGAGGGCCAGGAGGAAAACATTTATTAAAAGATTAAAGCAGAGGAAAATGGATTTAAATTAGGCATAAAAAAATTCTTTAAAAAAAATCATTGTAACAAAAAGTACATGACATATAATTTACCATCTTAATCATTTAAAATTATATAGTATAGCATAACAGATTTGTCTGTTCATATCATGCGCCATAAAACAAGCAAGTTTGTAAACAATGTTAGATTGTTCTTTTCTTTCACTTTGGTTAAAAGAGCATGGAATTTCCTTCTTTGAATTTGAAAACTGGCTCATAGTCCTGATGAGCCCCATGGGCCTGGCCAAGAGCCCTTCTGGCTGGCTGGCTCTAGTGTAAGGGTATGGTCTGGCTTGCCCCACTCTGGGACAGATGCACTGCCGAAAGGAAGCTTGAGCCACCCCTGGCAAAGGCAGAGATTAGGCCCCATGTTTGCTGAGCTCTGCCTCTGTGCCTCCTCTGTGCTCAGTGGCAGGGTTGCAGCGGTCCACTCTCCCCTGGAGAATGCCACCCATCTTACCTTGGGCTTGTATGCATTCAGCATGGACATCTCTACGTTTTGTCCTCGCACGGGTTTTGGTTGCCTCTGGACTGGGGGCGAGGAAGACTTCTGGTTATTGCGGCAGACACAGATGAAGAAGAAGAGGAAGGCGATGGCCAAGGGAATAGCCACACTTGGCACCAGAATGTACAAGATTTCCATTTTATTCTTCTCTTTGGGATCTTTGGAATCTGGGTGCAGAAAAAAAAAAAAAGAGGCAAGAGTTATACTGGTTAAAACACAGATGTATAATATTACATTGCAGAGCTTAAGCGATTTATTCTATACACATGGACTCACATCCATGTGAGAAAGAAGGGATCTAATACTTACTATGAATTTGTTTCTATCAAACTCTCAACATAGTTTATTGAAGTTTAAAAGTTTAAAGTTCAAATGTCTGAAAATCGCAGAGGGACATGATGAAGGTCCTGGACCAGCAAAGGGACTTCTGGTGATGCCCCTCTCCAGCAGACCTGCATTTCTCTCACAGCTTGGAAATTAAATGACATGGGAGCGTACTGTGCACACTGAAGTCTTAATACAGACCACAGGGCTCTCCTCCACTGGCCGCCAGCCCAGCCCAGCTGCTGCAGTGAGGTACCCCTGAGTTCCAAGGGTGTCCCTGCCTTGGGTGTTAGGGGCACTCAGGGCCAGCCCTGCATCTTCCAGGATCAACATGACTGCAGAATCCTAGTCCCGGTCTCAGAAGGCACTGCCTTGAGGATATGGGGGCCCGCAGGCAGGCTGGTTCAGTGTCTGGCAAGCTGTGCAACTCAAGCGAAATCATCCAGCAATCTGGGTCTCACTTTCTCTCAGCTAGAAGGGAAGTGAGTGTTCTGGCGGTGGGGAGGGGTGTCTACAAGTCCCTCCAACACAGAAGCGCTGTATAACTTGACACTTTTTGAAGCCCCAGAATTTGCCTTGAATAGTTTCATATGAGCCCAGTAACCGTGAGGGCTAACACTTTGAAGTATATTTTTGAAATCTTATACATCCATTTTTCCCATTGCTTGGCAAAGAGTATAATATGTATAGAAGGATATGAGACATGCCTTTCTTTTTATTAATGTGAGCCTGGCCAGTAAAACCAAAATCACTGGGCATGTCATCATCAATGAATTATTTGTCTGGTAAAATAAACACACCAATTACAGGATGGTAATTAGAGGGGTTTCGATAATGACACACCCTGACCACCAAGAGCAGAAGTCTGTCTTTAACAAAACCTGAAGTGCAAACATTCTGACTGACACAAACTTCAGAGAAGCTTATTTACTCTATAGAAGAATCAACACGCTCCCATTCAGCCATCCTTCTACGCCTTCGCCAAACATGAGCCACTGTGCACCAAGATCTGTTCTTGGAACTGGGAGTGTAGAATGACTTAACCGAATGCTTTCTGTGGCTTAAGAAGCTCACAGTCAACAACAACAACAACAACTCACAGCCTTAAAGGAAATAGAGAAGATGATGTCATTATAATATATTGTTGTAAATGCCGAAACAGAAGGATTTACGGTATGACAATGCCACCCCAAGAGAGTCCCTTAAAAGAGGAGGTCCCTAGGTATGGGTAAGTGACTATAGCCTTTACTTGCCACCAAAGTTCTAAGCTCCTCACTTTCCACTATGATGTGTAAAGAGCAAACCTGGGAGCTGCTGGGGCTCACAGTAGCTGACGACAGTTTTCTCTAATGGTGAGCGTGTTTGCGATGTCTGGGGTTAGGCAGAAAAGAATCCGGTGGGTGGGGGAATGCACAGCCCAGGGTCTAATGGGAGCATGCTTGTACACAGGTTAAAGCCAATTTGGAAGAGTAAAGGAACCATATGTTTTACAGTCAGACACTTTTGAATACCGCCTTTGTCATCAGCTAGATCAAGCTGAGCCAGCGCTTAGCCATGCCGAGCAAACTAATATGCAAAATGAAAAACTACAGACTTTATACATTGCTATAAACATAGAGATATGGAAAGTACCTGTCCTAGTATCTGTTGTAACTCAAGAACTTTTCCTTAGAGAGAAGGGGATTTTGAGTTATTTGGAGCTGGAAGTCCAAATAACCTTAAGCAAGAATCACCACCCTCTCTGATCTCCACCCCTTCCTGTATTCGACAGGAATAATAATAGCTAGTCTTCCAATCCTATTTGGTTCATGTGAGACTCATATGGGATCAGGTTCACGAAAGGACCCTGGAAAATTGAAAATTGCTATTCGGTTGTTGGATGCTCTATTATTAACGTTATAGAATTTCTCAGTATGAGCAGGATATCCCTGCTGTTATTCTTGGATTTTCAGTGAAGTTATTATGAGCATAACGATCACAAAAGGAACGAGCCTAATTTACTGCTAATGTAGCGCTAGGTATTTTTCTGGCCCAGAGTTTTAGCAACAAGAGAAAGTAGGATCTCACCTGTCTGCCAACAAAGAAGTCTATTCTGCATTCATTCCCTATCAGATTAGGCATGGAAGGAAGGCCTTTTTATTGTAAATGGGCGGTCTGGGAAAAAAAAATGCTCCTGTGGGTCTTTTGGAGAATAAACTTCAAGAGGCTAAATCCTTTTAACACACTCTGACTTGGCAGAGAGCCTTCTTGCCAAGCGCAACAGTCCCAAGGGACAATAGGGGGTCATGTTGGGAGAGACGGAAGATAAGCTCAGGGTATCCCCAGATTTCAAGGCCATTTCTCTCCCCTGCTACTGTCTGCTCTCAGCTAGAAGGGGGTTCAGCAGCAACAGGCCTTAAAAAAAAAAGATGCTCCATAGAACAACAATCAGCTTTTATGAAAAAAATTACAAAAGTAACCACTAGTGGCCATTAAATTAAAAAAAAAATCTTGCAGGGTGTGTATGTGTGTGTGTGTGTGTGTGGTGTATTTGTGCCATAGTATGCCTGCGAAGTCAGAGAGTGTGGGGAAGTTGGTTCTTTCCTTCTACCGTGTGCATCCTGGGAATCAAACTCAGGACTTCGGGCTTGACGGCCAGTGCCTTTACTCACGGATCCATTTCACCTGGCAGCTGAAGCAGCTCCACTCCTCATTTTTACCCGGCACTTTGGCGTGATCTCAGTTTATGTGCTGAGACCTTGAAGCCCGGTAAGGATAAATGATGGCCCAAAGCGAGGCAGCACCGGAGGGCTCTGCCACCAGCACCACCATGCTTCCCAAATTAAGTCACGGTCAGTTACCCATAGTATCAGAGGGGGATGATGTTCATCAGTTTAGATTCCAAGATTCTCTATCAATGAGGACTCCTATCTGTGGGGATCATACTTGGCACAAATGTACACATCACACTGGACCAAGGACCATTGTTCTTATGGATCAGAAACCTTAAATGCACTGCAGAGAAATTGGCTCCAAACTAAAACGGTGAAGGCTTTTTTAATACTTTGGGATAACTTTAAAAGTTAACAATGATGGAACAGATGCATTTAAGTATTTGGGATTTTTGGAGCCAACACTGTGGTTAGTTTCCTTTAAAAAAAAAATAAAATGAATGGTTTGGCACGTACCTGACATTCCTATTTTATTTTCACAATGCCACTCAATACTTTGATTAGTAACTAACTATAACGGAGAAAATACCCTTTCTATACCCTGGTGCTTAAAGCAAGGTAAACATAAATTTTTTTTATTTAAGAGGGACTTTGATAAAGCGAAATTATCAACTTAAATGTGACTCCTGAGTTAAAACAAAATGTGCTGATTTTAAACAGTGAAGTTGGGAAGAAAGCTTACAGAACCTTAGAATTCAAAGGAAAGGAAACGTCTTAATACGATATCTGAAAAAAATATAAAAACCGTAGAAAACAGAAATCACTGCCACTTTGTATTTGAAAACTGTAGAACAAGTGGGTCTGTTGCATGCAGAAGGCTTCATTGGCAATAATTTAATATAGGCCTACTTGCTAAGGGAGGAGGAAACATAATTAGGTCTTCGGTTGGCAGATGTGCCCGCCATTTAATCCCCTGACCTGAGCCTAGAAACACCCAGAACACACTTTCTTCTCAGATGAATCCTCTGCTTAAAATCGTAATAGCTTATATCGCTGATGAAACTGGCAGCTCTGGAGTGAGGGTGAAGCCGCCCAACTGTGAGCAGCTGAGGAGAATCTTAGCAGCTGGAATCTGAACAAACTTACTAAAGCTAAATGCAGGGCTTCATTCTCTTCCTCTGTGAAGGGAAAAAATGAGGCAATCTTTCTTAATAAAGAAGTGATTTTTCAGTTTTAAAAACACATAGAATGAAACCGACCATGTTTAAGCATACAGCTTAATGATGCTAAATATATTTGTATTATCAGGCAAATGGCCTCAAGAATGTTTTTATCTTGTGAAGCTGTAACTCCTATCCATCCCTATTCTTTGCCCCAAATCCACTATCATAACTACCATTCTATTTTCCGTTTTGACAAGTTTGACTATTTTCCATTCTCACGTACATGGAATCACATGGCATTTATTTTTGCGACTATCTTATCTTTGAATAATGAATGTCCTCAGGACTTATCAGGTTGAACCACATAACAGAATTCCTCTTATATAAAACTGAACAATATTCTATTGCATGCACATACCAAGTTCCCATACTCTGTCTTAGGGTTTCAACTGCTCTGATGAAACACCAGGGTCAAAAGCAACTCGGGGAGGAAAGAGTTGATTTCATCTTACAGCCTGTAGATCGTCATTCAGGGAAGTCAGGGCAGAGCCATGCAGAGGCCATGGGAGAACACTTCTGACAGGATTACTCATAACTTGCTCAGTCTGCTTTCTTACAGCATCTAGGACCACTAGCCTAGGGATGGCACCACCAGAGTGAGCTGGACCTTCCCTCATCAAGCAATTAACCATCAGTCAAGAAAACACACTACCAGCAATATGTGGTGACACTTTCTCAACGGCCATCCCCTCCTTCCAAATGACTCTAACGGGTGTCAAACTGACGTAGCATTAGCCAAACACCATCCATTCGTGAGCGTTTGGGTTGCTGTAATGAACATGGGTGCTTATGTTTTCAAGATCCTGGTTCAATTATTTTGGATAAATATCTAAAAATGAGACCAGTGGTTTTTATGTGAATCCAACTTTCAGTTTTTAAAGAGCCCTCTGTATTTCATTTTTTTTTTTTTTTTACCCAGAAGCTGTTTATTTTACATTTCTGCCAATGCTGTCGAGCAATTCTAACTTC